AGAAGGTGATACAGACTTGGCTACAAAGGTCCTTAGTTATATGTGAATTGTTTTCTTAAAGTTTTTACTATTAAAAATAGGATACTGTGAGTTGGGAAGGTGAGGATGCTTGCTTAAAGTTGACTGATTTGGAGAAATCGGTATTTGTTACTTGTATGTATTTGGGGTCATACAGAAGGATAATATTCATTTCAAGAAAAAATGTATTACATTTTGAGTGTATGCATCTTTTTGTATTACAATTAGTATACAGCAATTTCTTTACAAGTATTTCTTCCATTTGCTTTACCTGTTTGTTTTGTTTTAGTTGCTAGAGTAAGGTTTATTTTGATGCAGATGCGTGCAGCAGCTGCAATGTATTTTAGCATTAACCAGTCTGCCTTCCCATGTGGCCCTGCTTGCTCTCTCGTGTCTTTGGGTCACCTGGCGAGGACACTGGCTGCTCACCAAAATCTTTGTGCTGAGCCAGGTCTTCATTGCTTTCACAATTCTACTTTATAGTGAGTTCATGTACTCAGAACCACTTATATGTTATGAAATATGTGCCTGGCTTTACCACCTGATTCTGACTCTTAAAGAGCATTCTGCAAAGGGCACTGGTAAGATGCAAAGTTCTAAAATACAATTTAAAATAAACACAAAAGTGTTGCAGCATTGTTTCTGCATTGCAGAGGCCTTCTGACAGTGCTATAGTAACACAGGGGAGAACAGCAGTGCCTCTAGGAATGCTCTTTCTACACCAGGACTGGGCTTCTACAAAGAAAGAGAGGGCACAGCCCGTCTTCATCACGGCTTGGAGGAGCTAAGCAGCTCTTAATGGCAAGGGTTTTCCAGAAAAGCAGGGGTTCTTTTAGTGTGTTAGGGTCCAAGTCACAGCCAGGCGATAGAAAAACCTGCACAGTTGGAAAATACTGTAAAGGGAAATAGTGAGCTTGATGGAATGAGGTGTGTTAAGCTGTAGACAAAGATTTAAACAATTCCAGACAATTCCTGTCTAGCTTTTCAAAGCCTGTTCTTACTGTACCTCCCCTAATGCACACACAGATAAGTTCTTTCAACACTCAAAGTAGCACTTGTGGCAGAGCCTTCAAGCTGCTTTGTTCCCATTTCTTGCCATGCTCCTCGTGGCACCTTTTCGCCCTCATGTCACAAGTGCATTCATTGTGCTAGCAAATGTACAAAGGGAGAAAAATAAACACTCGTTCAGTTTGATCGGTGTACAGTTTTTTAAAGACCCTTTTCTTTCATCCTCCATCACTGAGGTTGCCAAAATTATACTTCAGAGATGTTTTAAGTATCCAGAAAGTGTTCCTAGCTATATGTAATTGATCTTGTTACTTGTACTGCCTTTGATCATGTTACTGAACAATGCAATTTTTTTTAAGTACGTATAGATTTTTTGCTTCAAGCTTTCCACTTTAAAAGTATCTAAGTCAAAGGTATGTTGCTATATTTTGAGGTTCACATTGTTTAGCAGTAAATGTTAGGGCATATGGGCTAGTGGACTTGTCCTTTCATTTCTGCACAAAGTTTGTAATAAGCAGAGGTGGACATTGTCCTGTGAAGTAGCAATATTGCATATCTCCCTAACTTGGCTTTCAGACAAGTCTGTCCTTGATATCCAAATATACATTTGTCATGATCTTCTGTACAATAGATAGCTACTACATCAGTATACAGCTTGTTACTGAACGTAGCTCCTTTAGTCTCATAATCAATTCATCCTGCAATTATTTGCCTGAGTTTTACCTATCTTCCTTAATACATTAATTGATGCTAGTACAAGTGCAGTATCTAAGAAAATGAGGAAAGAGATGCAAAGCTGAAGACATCTTTCTATCTCCAAAACTTTGTTGCTGCTGTTGCTTTGTTGCCCTGCCTTCAGCAGCAACTCTCATCAAGCATGCAGGAGGGCTCTGGAGTAGCAGGGCAGCAGCACCAGTGGAGATGTGCTCAAGCTCTGTGAGGAGTGGCAAGTCCTCTAACATCATAGATACCTTTTTAATGTAACACTTTGTGCTTGCTATATTCTTTTTTGTAAGCAGGCAATACGTATTTGTTTGGAGCATGATTTTAATGCGTTCTATAGATGATTAATTTCTGATAGATCTGAATTGCAGTTGCACTAGCAAATGAGTATTTGAATGCAGGAACCTATATTAGCACTAATATTAGGATTGCAAAATTTAAGAGGAAGGAAGTAAATGTTCATGATAGTCATCATTTGAAGGAAGCAATTATGAGGAACTGCAAAGAGTAATTTCCCCTGCTATCAGACCACATATTGGAAGCAAGGAAAGGATGTTCTCCTCAGGTCAGGCTCAGGTGGAGCAAACTGCATTTCTGTGCTTCATGAGGAGTGGAGAGCTATCACCTGGAAGGAGTATTTACTGGGAACATCACAGGAAAAACTCTGGTGTTGGGTGCCACTGTTACACTGTTTCTCTGGTGCATTCCCAGACTCACATTGCTGACGTTTCTTGGCTGCCTTCCATGGCAGCTGGTTCTCTGCGAGAGCTGTATTATCTAGGACAGCAAATTAGATCACCAGTGGTCTTGTACATTGGAAGGCAGGGATGGGCTTAAGGAACAGACCTACAGACATGTTTTTAGGTGCTGTTGGCATCAGTATCTGGGCCCGTGCTGTCCAAAGCCAGTCCCTGATTCCTTTCAGTCACCAAATTGGTTGAGGACTATAGCTGTTTTATTTACATAGATACTGAGTAGTGTATTCTTCACTACCACTTTCTATGCTTTCAAGACCTGGAACATTAACAGAGATGAGATCACCCTTCATTTTATTTGTTGTTTGCATGTGTGTTTTCCTCAAAGGTTTTGTAACCTTTCACATCAAGACAGTGGGAAAGCTGGTAGGATATGGAGAATGCTGGCATCGGATCTAGTGCTGAGGCAGAAGAATTCCACAGATCTTGAAGATCACTCTTCCTGAACAGTTTGCCTCTCTTGTGTTTACAGTGCATACATTTAATCTCTGCTCACAGGAAAAGTTCAGAAATTTGAACTGACGGCATATAAACCTCTCATATGGAATGACTACTAATAAGGAAATATGTGCTACAGTTATTAGGCAACATTTCTGTTGCTTTACTACAACTTCTAGCATGATATATTTAAGCATATACAGTTTTTCATAGACTCTTGTACATTTTTAGGCTATAGATGGGTAGTTCTGTCAGTGTAGATGTTCACAGTTCCAAATACAATAAAGACACTAATGTCTAGTGGACAGTGCTACAGATTTACTCCATGCAGCCAACAGAAGTCATACAGTAACTCGTTGGCCTGAAACCGGTCATGAAGACTGAAGAATATACTTAATTGTTCTTTAGGAGGAAAGCACTTTGTAGATAGGCTTCACCCTTATATAACTGTAACTTTACAAGTAAGCAGCTATTTGAACACTCTTATGTATCTAAACATAATTCTATTTATTGGACTTCTTGCATATTTTGAAGAACTTTTAAGACTAATACAGCTTCTGCAGAAATTCCATCAGTCATCTTTTGAAATAATGTCTTTTGGAAACGCTACTCAGTAACTGCTACTCTGATGGATTTATATTTAGCAAGTGAGCTGGCAAAACTTCATTCTTCCCCAAATTCCACTTTCTTCTGCTGATAACATTTCTAACACTTTTCAGCTTGTTTTTGGTTCTTGTACAGTGACAGAGAACCTCTTGGCACACAGTGCTCAGGTATACCTACTGATGTAATGTTACTTTGTGTTTTCTCGTGTGAAAATAAAGTCATGTTTCATCGTTCCTCTCTTAGATACTAACCAGATTATGTCAAATATAGTTCAAAACAAACAGAGGAGCTTGTGGTAAGGAACTTGGGAACCTCTGCTCAGTTTCTGATTCAGATGCTGCTTTGCTCTGTAATGAGCGTCTCTGAGCTGCTTTTTTATTTTATACTTTTTAATAAAAAATGAGGATTTGATTTCCAATGCAAGTTGCAAGTTTTCACCAAGTGCAACAAGTTCGACTCAAAGTCAGAGTCAGAAGAGCTACTAGTGGCAAACTTTGCAGGGTGCTTCAGAAACAGCAGTCATTCCTATAGCTGAGATTTCTGTCTGTCTGGTTACTTAATTTTGTCTTAGTTTTCTGGATGCTCACCTTTGGGCTGCATAGCAGATTGCTGCCTGGGCTGCCAAGCTATTGAAAAGATGCAAACAGGCAATGAATGTCTTTTTCTTTACAAAAAGAAAATTGAAACTTTCCTGATGGATGTTTTGCTTTTAGTTAAAATTGTTTACATTTCAATTTTCCATTTTAAACATACAGAGAATTCTTTATCAGCTCTGCTGATCAGCTTTTAGAAATCTGATTTGTACATGTCTGTTTCCCAGAAAAAAGGTTTCATTGGTTTGGGTTTGAATCAGTAATTAAAGAAATTTTTTTTTTTTTTTTTTTTTTTTTTTTTTTTTTTGGAACCTTGTTATCAAGACTAGCTCTGACAAGACCATTTCTTGTCTGCTTTATTTACATATACTGACTGGGAGAGCTTATCCCTAAAATATGGTTTCTTGTGCCTACCAGGATTTTACCAGAATAGTATGTTTTGTTTAAAGCACTTTTTCTTTCGCTTGTTTTATGATTCTCATGTGCTACTGGGAACTCAGGGAAGTTGCCCATCCCTGGAGGTGCTCAAGGCCAGGTTGGATGGGGCCCTGAGCAGCACAGTCTGGTGGGTGGCAACCAGCCCATGGCAGGGAGTTGGGACTGGATGATTTTTAAAGTCCCTTCCAACCTGTGATTCTATGAGAGGAGAGCGTGATCACGCTTGAAATAGTTGATCATTTTCGTTGCTTCTGTCTACATGTGAGTTTTCATTAAAGAAATATGCAGTTTATATACTGTTGCAACTTACTGAAGGTAAAACACAATAAAACAATGTGAATGGGATGTCTGCTGTAATAGAATGTTGGTTTTTTTTCTTCCTTACATGTTCCTTTACATAAGAATTTATAATACTTTCTAGGTATGGGAAAATTGTATCCACGAAGGCTATTTTGGATAAGACAACGAACAAGTGCAAAGGTATGTTTGCTTTTATATTACATTCACCTGGTTAATCAATTGATTTTATAAAATCGACTATTTAATAATTGACTAGTTAATTGATTTTATAAAATAAACCAATGCTGTATTTTAAGTGTTTTTGATTTCCTTTCTCCAGTGATGCTCATAAAGCAGGCTTATTGTTGCCCATGGTCAGCATGCTCAGTACATTTGTTTCCAGCGGAGCTGGCAGCCTGCCTGTGTCAGTGGTGTAGCCAGCCCTGGGTGAAGCGGACACGCACACTGCTGGCTGCCAATCGGCCTCTGTTTGAAACACTAAAATGGAGTTAAAAGCAGCTTTTCTCCTCTGGCCAAACCAGGGAAGCTTGCAGCAGACCATTCGATTGTACTAAGCATTGAAAAAATATATATATTGTGGAAATCAGCTCCGCTAATTTGAACAGTTTAAAGCAGTGGTTGATTACACGTTCTAGTAGTGTAATTATGTTTAGCTATATGCTAGTCAGTGTGTTGAGAGCAAAGAGGGGGTTCATTTTCACCTAAGTAATTGCAGCTGGAAAAAATACAAAACCTCCTTTAGATAAGTTGGGTATGTCCATTCAGTGATCTGCAGCATTCACTGCGATTACAGTGAGATGTAATCTCATATCCCAGCAGTGTGCGTAGTGGGAGGTGTGGCAGCAGACACTGAAATATCAGATTGTAGACTACTTTTTTTTTTTACAATTAAGAGGATAATTTCTAAGCAAATTGAGGAATTGAGTCAGATCATTTAGCAATGTTAATGAGTGTAAAGCTCATGAAAGAGCATAAAGCTGATAGACAGAGGCAGGAGACGAGAATTTATCATTAATCAAGTCTTGCTTTTTGTGGAAGAATTGGAAACAGTGCAGTGGTGCAGCTCCTGTACCACTGGTCTTGGTCCCCATCTTAAGCTGTTAATTGGGGACGGACGGTGCAGAAACCAAAATTTCTAAATTTTTTTCCTCAGCTTATATGCAGATGTCATCCATGCACATTGTGACTAGGAAATAGTGATCGCCCTTTTCAGTTATTTCTGTCCATTGATTCTGATGACAGCAGCTAACTGATTTAAGTCTGCCTGTTCCCCCAGCTCCTGAAGACTTCAGGAGCTCTGCCAGCAACACTGCTTCTGATCCTGTCTCTTCAAAGAATCTCAGAACACAGAAATTCTCGCATTAATATTTTAAGATGTTTTAGCTGACTTTTCCAATACGGATTTGAAATCTCACCAGTGTGAAGCAGTAACTAATGTCAACTGTAACAGTATATGGCAAGTTGAAGCTACGGGGAAGCTCCCTCCAAGTCTTCGGAGTTGCAGTGGGAATATGAGTAGGCAGAATGCAGAGATGTAACTGGAATTTAATCAAGAGATTGACAGCATCTCTGGCTCTTGCCAAAAAAGCATACCATGGCATTTAAACTAACTTAAACTAACTAACTGCAATGAGCAATTGAGTTTATGTATCATCGAAAAGATGGCAAAGCCAGCTCTGATGGCATGCTTGGTATCAGTATGTAACTCCATCTATATTGCACCCTGCATTGTCGTGGTAGTGATAACCTATGCTAGCATGGGTATGGAAAACTAGTCCTACTTTGGCAGCCCAAAACTTGATATGAGCTAATTCACTCTGTTTCATGTCAAAATTTAACAGTCCGCAACACCACATGTTACACGGAACAATATGCTGCTTTCTTCAGCTTCTTGGCAGGTTATATAAGCTTGGTCTGATGTACAAGGCTGCTCTAGTTGTTTTTCCCAAGTTAAGGACTTTAAAGCTGGCTCAGTAATATCTTTGCACAACCTTTTTGTCCTCAGTATAGACATATTGTAAGAGGATACTGTTACCATCTGAAGAAATGATTGAATTTTCTACTCCTCTACAGTTTTTTGGTTTTTGTTTTTATCCCAGTTTAGACATTGGAGAGGGATTTTTTAATATGATTCAATGGTGGGAAGGAGGAGGGCTTAAAAATACAGAATGAGGTTTGCAATAAGGGAAGCAGCCTCCAACCTCTAATAATCTTTTTGGGGTTAAAAACCCCAGTCCTTAGTCACCAAGGCATATTGCTATCCAAATGCATCGGAATCTATTAACTGTATATTGTTGTTCAGAATAAGAAAAAAAAAAGTTGCATATATATATAGAGAGAGAAATCGTTATAATTAAGTTCAGTTTTATATTAACATTGAAATATTCCATCATGTGACATAGAAAAACTATCTTACTTATATTCTGTTTTCAGTAATGATAGGAAAAACTAAAAACTCATTTTATTTCACTGAAGATGGGTTTTCACTCACTTTCTATTTTAACTGTCCTTTATGTAAGTACAATGAAGTAACTGGATTATGGTGCAGTAGATATGCATCTTTTAAACTAACCTATTCTCCCAGTTCTGAGTAAATGACCTGTAACCTAAAGGCTTGTTGGTCACTTATTCAAACCAGACTAAGAATGTAGTTCAAAATTAACAGATTATGCTTTCCTTGGTGAACTCTATTGAAATAAATTTATGATGTCACATTTGCTCTTCTTGGTTATGTACCACATAACAAAAACTAAGCACCATACTATTTCTTAGATTTGGACAAAATCCTGATAGTTAGTGAGCATGGAAATTGATATATTCCACTACAGTAGGTCTCCATCATCACAAGATGGAAGGACTTAGGTAGAGTTTTTTTTTTTTTCTGGGAACTACATGAAGAACCAACAAAGAAATTGTATTAAATAACCATGCTCGTAGCAAATGAAGTCTTTGATTAAAAGCTGATTACTGCCTTGTTGATTAAATACACAATCTGAAGAGAAACCAGAGTTTTTTACATTTCAGGTTATGGCTTTGTTGACTTCGACAGCCCAGCAGCTGCTCAGAAGGCAGTTTCTGCTCTAAAGGCTAGTGGAGTCCAGGCACAAATGGCAAAGGTGAGTTAAATTAAATGGCTAACTTTGCAGTGGTTTATGAAGAGCAAGTTTATACCTTAGGAGAGCATTGGCAGTGTGAATTCTCAGATTGCAAGAGCTTTATGAAGGATACAGTTCTCAAGCCACCAGATAACAAAACGGGACTTTCAGCTGGCATATCCCAAGTCAGCTCGACTAACAAAATAAAGAAAAAAGAGTCTGGTAAATTCTCCAAATGTGTTTGGTTGGATTTGTCACTATTGTAATTTATACTGCCTTTCCATTGGCTTAATGAAAAGAAAGATTAGGAATATTAGTATTAGGAATAAGAACTACAGAATGCTTAATGGGTTAAATTCATCATGCTAATTTCTAGACAAACTGGCTAGCTTCAACAGCTTCCAGCAGACAGGTATGAGAGATCATATGCATCGTCTAATTGCTGTTACTGAGGTTACTGAGGCTAACAGCCTTGCAATTTGGGGATGAATTCTTAAGTGCAACAAAGCAAAATTTAACTTAGGGACTTTGTTTTCAGCATTTTTAATGTATTTTGCATTAATAAAATATAAATCTATGCTAAGATTTTCTTGATATTCCTAGCCAACTCTTTGACAACCTATTCTGCATCAGGGCAAAATCAAGTATTACTAAAATTAAAGAAATATAATCTTCTTTTTACTGATCTCTGGTCTCTGTATTGAGTTATTACTTAATGTGGCCTTCAGAGCAGAGCTCCATCTCCATAAGATAAGCTTTGTAAATCTATAAAATCAGGGAGATGATACATTAATAATGGTTTTGTCATATGGTGGTCTTAGGTCAGATGGCCAATTTCCAACATAATGCCATAGCCGTAGCTACCACTACAAATTTATTCAATTAAGAAAATATTTCCAACATAATCTGGTCATGTAATTTGTGGTACCTCTTAAAGTAGATTCTTTAGAGTTTGAAAATTATTTTCTAATTAAATAAAAATATTCCAGTAATTAAACAGTAAACTCAGAGCCTTTTTTAATTTAATAGTCCATAGCAGATCTAGCAAATCTTTTGCAGTTCTCCATTAGGTGCAGATTTTTTTCAGATGAGATATTTTCCACAGCTTCTCAGCTGAGGAGAACAGTTAAGCTAACAACATAAAATGTCTTTGGATGGGTTCCAGGGCTACAAAATGGAAACCATATGTTTCATACTTAATGCATGTTTCACTGCAGCCATGATACAAACATACATGCTTACCAAAAAACACCAGACTTTTTTCTTTCTATAGTATTTTATCTAAATAACTTTTAATTAATATTTAGTTTTTAGGTAATCACTTGAAAATATACACTAGATTTTTCAACGCCTCTGTCTGCCATCTTACAAATACAATATGTAGGTAGGAGGCGAGAAAAGAAAGTACAAGTAAATTCATTTTGCTATTAAAGAATTTTAGCTGATCTAATTGTCTGCTTGAGTAGGTGAAGCTTTAATTATTTTCTGTAGTAATCTAATGAATTATTTCCTCGTTTTTTCCAGATATATTTTTTGAATCGTTTCATCTGCTAGCTAGTTGCAAAATTGCTAATATTTCTTTTTGTTAGCATTAATGAAAAAGCATGTCATAATACTTGACCATTTTGATCTATTTTCTGACACTTTGAGTCTGTCAATCCTGCTGACTTGTGGAAAATCTATAACTATAAATTTGGCATCAGATTGAAACCTGTTCATCTACTTTTTAGCACGATAAGAGTGATTGAATTATAAATTTAGAAAAAAGAGAGAAAAAAATAAGGAAAAGCAACAACAGTAAATGGTGCTACAACAATCATAATTGATGGAGAGTTTGAGTGCTTTGATTTGTTGTCTATCTATTTTGAGCCATTGAAATTTTGGCTGGGTTGGACAGACAATGCTGCTTTTCTTTTTGTCTGAAAAATCATATCTCTGCTTGGATGTACCAAACAGAGAATCGCCATCCTCTTCCAGTTGTTTTGGCAAGATCAAAGATCAGACTCTTCATAAGCATTACACTGTATAAAAGTTTACTTGCTGTTATGTATTTGATATTACCCTATTGTGCACTACAAAGCCAGTATTATAAAGCAGTCATGTTGCAGTGAAAGTGTTTATTCTGGCATTAGCCTGAATGTCACACTGAAAGATCTGGAGAACGTTTTGCCAGCTGTCTGCTGATGGATTTCCTTACTGACCAGTGCAGCTGCTTCAATCACAAAGAGGTGTGTGCCTGTCAGATCAGTTTGGAAAGCATCACTACACTCTGCCCATGGCCATCAATAGCTCCACTCCTACCCAGCTTTTCACATCTTCCTCTTGGATCACAAATGAAATGAAAGGAAAAAAATGACTGTTGAAGCCTGAATCTGACTGCAGTGAATTCCTTTTTGCAGTGTCATACTGTAACTACATACAGATACATTAAAAATTTTTTCTTTTCAACAAGGTCATCTACAAATCCCAGTTTAGTAGAAACTGTCTGGATTGTACTTATCAGAACTTCTGTTGTTTGCTTTGTAGAAATAACTTCAAATATTGACTCTGAACTTTTTCTATGCTCTGGGTAAGCTCATGCTGTACTCTGCTGTCTGTTTCCAATCTGATCTGACTTTTGGCTATCGCTGAGCAGACTTGGAGGGCTTGGGGCCTGACATGCAGCTTCAGGCCATTTCCTGAGATGAGGGTCATTGTGGGGAACTGGCTACGTTCTGAGAGATGTCGTGCTGATAGCGCTGATTAAGGAACCTAGTGTTAGAGCATTGCTCAAGAAACACTGTGTCTTCAATTATTCTGCCCTTTCAAAGATCTGGATTTGGAAGACTTTACTGAGATAATTACACTTAAGCACTTGGGAAGATCTTTGCTGTGTGCTAGTTAAATGTATCTTCTGGTGACAGCTGAAATTGAAATTCCTGTTGGAAAGGCAATTCTGCTGAGAGCTAACAGAAGATATTTTTTCAGTACCAGGGGATGAGAGTAGCTTTTTGACTGAAAATTAAAATGGAGGTGATGAGCATTTCCCCTTTTCTTCATATTCATTGGTGTATTTCCAGCATTCAGTCTTGCTAATTTCTTTTCCAGTGTGTAGCAGCACCCGTGAAAGGGGATGAAGAGATGAAGTGAGCAGTAATGGTAGGCAGTTTGTTTCAGGATGCAGCTCAAAAACAGTGGCTTATCTCCTACTCTAGAGATGATGTATGGAAGAGCAGCTGCATGTCTTGCAAGAGTTCTGTTATTTCTAAGCTAGTTAGAAACTGACTAAGAGTCAGTTTTGGTTTATTTTGGTTCCTTTGAATTTCTTCTTGAAGTTTCTTTTATTAGTTTATTGTTCTTGCTCCTCAAGGAAAGCTTCAATAACAAACCAGTAATTAGTTCAAAAATTATGATTGTTCATAGCCATGCTTTCTTAAATAATATTAGTAGTAGCATTGAAGAGTTCTCCCCATTTTCATAGTTAGTTTCTTCTTTTATTGAAACTGTGCTTCTGAGTACATTCACTTTGATGAATTGATGAAAAAATGGGTTCTAAAGTTTGTTCGGCAATCTCCTCTTACTAAAGAATGATGAAAAAAAAAGATTATAATTATTTTTGTTAAAAGCTTTTGCAGTTGTTTGAATTCTGTATCTTGCAAGGGATGTGGAGTTTGAGCACATGCTGACTTGAATACAATCCTGCTTAGAAGAAAATTCTGTATGATATTTTAAAAATGAGACCATTAGAGTAACAAGTCATGTATTGAAAACTAGTGAGGATGCTTGGAAATGCTTAACTGAATCCTGGGTCTTTATGAGTTTGAGAGAGAGCTATGAATATATATAGGCCAGGATATACTTGAAATGCTGCTTTTGTAGGGTTTACTCAACTAAGATTTCTTTGTACTTTGCATTTTTTCCTAAATAAACACATGCCCCAAATACTTATTTCAATAGGATCAGTACAGACAATATCATAAAGAAACACTACTGATCTGTGTTAGAAAAGTTGTTGTGATTGCTACAAGAGTAGATGCTTATTATTTGAGAATTTTCTCTTCTCTCCTCTCTCTACCCCAAAGGTAAAATCAATGAAATAATTGTAGGATTATGTGCCGCTCAGAGCAGATAGCAAATGACGTGATATAGGAGGGTAGGTGCATATAGAAAATCTACTTGGCATATTGGTATGTTGGCATTTTGAATGGAGATTTTAAAACCTGAGAACCTTTAATGAGTGTTTTCGAGTTAATAAAGTCTGAAAGTTACAGAGATATAAGTAACCCAATTCCTTGTAAATTCTTGATCTTGAACGTAACATACAGCGTTTGTGTCAGTATTAGGAGATTTTGTCCCATTAAATGGTATTCAGCTGTGTTTAGCTCTCTGCTCCAAAGTAACTGTGTTTCAGATGGTTGGAAAAGTGACTCTCTTATCAGGAAAATCGAATTCAGTTCCTATTTTTCTTAAGTAAACCAGTGTGTAAATGTAGAGGGTAAAAAAAAAGAACTGAATAAAAAAGTTTTATAAAAAGCATGGTTTTTGACATCTTTGTGTCCAGCAAACTTAATTCAAGAGTATGATTGTGTTTGCAGCTTAGATAAAGCCAGATGAGAATATCTGTATCATGCTGATGACATTGAAGAGATATTACGAGCTAGCTAGAATAGCAGCTTGGCTGTGGCAGCTCATAGCTCATTGAATGATATGTAACATACTTCTTGACATGACAGTTAGACTTGCATAGGCATATTGTCTAGCTCAGGATGGTTACATTGATTCCTGAGATAATATAGTGAAAGGCTATTATATATTATAGCTATTAAATTTGTGTCACATATGGAGTTACTCCTTTTAGCAGAGATTTTGTCATGCTTTTTGGATATCACTGAACCATTAGCATGAAGTCCAGTGCTCTTGCAAATGTATTTCAGCCTGGTCCTTTATATTAGAGGGGTCTCCTCCATTCAGTGTAATGTAACCATCTGAATCCAATGCAATTCCTGTAGACTCAATGAGACAGTTACCCTAGATTTTCTCAA